GGACCAGAGTCACTCTCTGGACTTGGGCTTGGCGGGGAACAGGCAGAGTGGCAGGGCCGTGTGGGGTCTGGTGAGACTCGCATCTGGTCTGAAAGGTCGCAGGGCCTCTGCTGTCGGGCGTCCTTCAGGGACAGCAGAGCAAGGCCCCGGAGGGGGTGTTCCCCTTCCTGTAAGGCCTCTCGTGAGGAACCCATGATGGGGACCACAGAGCCTGGGCCATGTCACACCCTGTGCATGTGTCTGTCCTGTGGACTCTGAGGACTTTTAAGCTGTCTGCACCGCTGGGACCATGGGAGGCAGCGTCAGGACCCAGACCCTCACCGCCCTTCTGTGTCTCGGTGAGCTTTCTGGACAAGAGGAGGGATGGGTGGCTCCCGCCCTGCCCCCAGGCCCTGGGCCCTGAGAGACCTCAGGACTTGGGAGGCATGTTGGGGGCAGGACTTCTGGGGGCCAGAGAGTGACCCCCGTGGTCATTGGACCTGACTGGGCCTGGAACAGCTACATGCGGTTGGGGGGACACTCTCACAGGGAACTCTCTTCCAGGGCTGTGTCGGGGTCCGTGGGACCAGGTACAGGCAAGTGAGTGCTCCCCAGACCTCCTGTTTCCACCCAACAACCCGCTGGGCAGCTGGGGGGCACAGAGGGTCTGGGCTGATGGTGACCAGTCCGGGAGGGGCCTTGGGGTGACAGGTGGGAAACAGGGGAGAAGGGCACCCTTGCAATTCCCCATCTGACTCCTTTCCAGGGTACCTTCCCAAACCCTCCATCAGGGCTGACCCCAGCCCCAATGTCACCGGGGGGACCCCTGTGACCATCTGGTGCCAGGCATCTCTGCAGGCTGATGTCTACTATCTGTATAAAGAGAGGGTCTCAGAACCCATGTCCATGGAGATCTCACAGGAGTCCAGCGACAAGGCCAGTTTCTCCCTTGGATTCACGAGTCCGCACAATGCAGGGCGATACCAGTGTCAATATCACAGCAGGAACAGCTGGTCACAGCGGAGTGACCTCCTGCCCCTGGTGGTGACAGGTAAGGCAGAAGCTGGCCCCTCCCCTGGGGCCCCTCCTCCAGGTGGAAGGGAACAGAGTGTGGCCTCAGGGGACTCTCGCTCACCGTCCACACTGGGGTACGTGGGGCGATGGCCCCTTTAACACTGCCCCTCCTTCTCCCTCAGGAGTGTACAACCCACCCTCCCTGTCAGCCATCCCAGGCCCTGTGGTGGCCTCAGGAGGGAACGTGTCCCTCTCCTGTAGCTCACCACATCCATGGCAAACCTTCCGTCTGCTGAAGGAGGGGGGAGCTGACGCGCCCCGACACCTGGAATTGAAGTTCCCTCGTGAGAAGAGGCAGGCACTGTTCCCTGTGGGCCCCGTGAGCACCTCCCATGGGGGGACCTACAGGTGCTACGTTTCTCCAGCTTCCTACCCGTATGTGTGGTCACTCCCCAGTGACCCTCTGCACCTTCAGGTCACAGGTGAGGGGCCCCTGCACTGCCCTGCCCCACCTACTTCCTGGGCCCAAATGACTGACCTAAGCCGTGTGCCCAGTGGAGCCCTGGGGGTGATAGAAAGTGGGTGGGGCACTGGCCTCCTGAAGTCAGACGACACATGGAAGCTATGGTGGAGGGGGGGCGGTGCTCATGAGAGCCTCGCCTCAGGCCCTGGGGCCAACGTGGGGTGTGCATCCCCTGGTGCCTCTGTCCCCTCCCGTCCAGGCGCCTACAGGGAGCCCACCCTCTTAGCCCAGCCGGGCTCGCTGGTGCAGCCTGGAGACAACCTGACCCTCCAGTGTCATTCAGAAGCCGGATTTGACACATTCGCTCTGATGAAGGATGAGGGGATCACACCTCCCGTGCGTTTAGATGGGCAGCCCAGCCCCAACTTCCCCCTCGGCCTTGTGAGCATCACCCATGGGGGCCGGTACAGATGCTATGGTGGACACAACCTCTCCTCCACGTGGTCGGCCCCCAGTGTCCCCTTGGACATCTTCATCACAGGTGAGAGACCCACTCCCCATATTTCTGTCTGCTCAGGGGGTTGGGGCCATGGTCACCGCTAGGGGTGATAGGGTCCAGGTAGAGGATAAGAGGCAGAGGCTGAGATGGAGTCTAGGAACAGGGACACAGAAGGCCAAGGAAACAAAGGACACCCATCAGAGAGACAAGAGGAACTGAGACGGGGCACACAGAGTCCCAGCAGAGAGGACAGTCATCACCCAGCTCAGGGTCAAGGGTGTGTGAAGGGGGAAGCAGATCTATACAGGTCATGAATTTTCCTCCCATAGGCCTGTACAGGAAACCGTCCCTCTCGGCCCAGCCGGGGCCCTCAGTGTCCTGGGGAGAGAATGTGACCCTGCAGTGTCGCTCGGAAATCTGGCTCGACGCCTTCTACCTGTCCAAGGAGGGGTCACCTGCTCCTCCCCAGCACATTCGTCTGCAGGACACAACTGCACCTTATCAGGTCAGCTTCAACATGAGTCCTGTGACCTCAGACCATGAGGGGACCTACAGGTGCTACGCCTCATCCAGCACCTCTCCCTACTTGTTGTCACACCCCAGTGACCCCCTGGAGCTGCTGGTCTCAGGTGAGGAACCCAGACTTTGTGTCCATTTTGGACCCAGACACTTGGGTCACCGCCCTGTTACGAGACAGCTTTGGGATGGGATGGGGAGGAGGAATAACAGGGGGATCAGCCACCGGGTGATCCCTCCCCACAGGGGATGGAAAAGATGGGGAGCCCCATGCCATCTCCATGTGTTACCACCACAAGAGGGATGGGGCAGCACCAGGTGGTTGCAGGGAGGAGACTGAAGAGTTTAAAGGACGAGCTTTGAGCAGAGCAGTGGTGCTGAGGGGGACATGAGGACCACAACCCACAGCCTCCTTCCTGTTCCAGACAGCATTAGGAGTCTGCAGAGCGTCACCTCCATGGGCAATCCTCATGTCTGCCAGGAACAGAATCTTCTTAGCCTAGAGGAAACACAGCCTCCCCAGTCCTAGGCTGAACTTTGCTTTTCCTCTGCACTTCGAATATTTACAGAGAGGCCGTTCCCACAGGACCTGGGGCCAGGGGAGGTGGGAAGTGAAGGGAGGGGCCTCAAGTGTGCAGCAGCATTGAGCTCATTGGTGCCCACTGGGTGGTAGTCAGTGTGAGGGGAAATGCATGAGGGAGAAGAAGCCCATTTGAGTGCTGAGAAAAGAGCAGACTCCGCCTCTGTCCTTGGTGCTGATATCTAGAAACTAAGAGGATCATGGCACCTATGGAAATAGGTCCACAATATGAAGGGCAGAGGAGGGGCGTCTCTCATTTTCTGGTCAGGAGGATGGGGGTTCACTGGAAGTCATAACGCAGGTTGTGTCAGTTCAGCCACTCTTCACTGAGTCATTGACAAAATCCTATTCAGATCTGAGAGTTTGTTCTCTCAGTTGTCAAAGGCAGAATCCCATCCCCAATTTAAAAGACTAAAACGGTTCTGAACTTTGGTGTCAGTAAATTCGGTGGAATTCCTCTCTCTTGGGACTTCAGTAATCACTGACATTTTTTTGAAAGGAAGGAGGGAAAGGCTGGATTTCTCCCCAATTTCCGTGAGCACCCGATTGTCAGCTGGATCAGGCCATCCTCCAAAACATCTTTCATAAGATTTCATGTTTCCTATTCTCTCCTCCCATCTGAGTGGTACTTGTTATTTCTTGATATTTCTGTCGTCATTTGATCAAAGCCTATCTCATATCTGTAGATCTCTATATTTTTGTTCATGTGTCCATCTGCATTTTTATTTTGTCATTTATCTTTATTTTGCATTTCTTATCAGTCTTCATACCTAGATGACAAACTGAATAATTAGAAGCAATGTGAGTTATGGTAATCCTCGCTCCTAGAAAAATGCCTGATGTGTGGTGTAGAATCCATCATTTATTTTCAAAAAGAATAAATTGATAGTCAAAGAATAAAACTGCTTTGGAAATAATACAGTCACAAATCAGGGATGATAAGGAGCTGGCTGATGTGAAGGAATGATAAGGTATCCAGACTTTCACTCCATCACACTCCTGATTCTCAGAGCAAAATGAAGCCTCAAATGTTTATTTTTTGCCTCCTAATTAGATGGAAGATGAGACGCTGGAGATGCTTCCCTCCAGGCGTTGAGATTGTCATTAGCTAGTTTCAGGGACTCCCTCGACATGAGAGAAGAGATTACTTATGCATTCCTATGTCTCCTCAACCACACTCTATTTTTGACTCTCATGAGTAGTTGATACCCTCAGCCCATCACAAAACAAGCCAGACTCCAAGAAGATGAGTGAGGAGAAATTCTTGATTATGGCACTGGGCTGACAGGTTCAAATTCTGTCAATGAATGCAGGTGACACAGTGGACACGCAGGCATCCCAGCATGATTTCAGTCTGCCCTGATCACAACAATCACTTTGTCCACATTCGCTAGCCTCAAACAGCCAAGATTACACAGCAGAGAATCTCATCTGAATGGATGACATTTCTGAGTTCCATCAGCTCAGAGCCAGCCTTTAGGAAAGCCTGAGACAGTGACAAATGTGTGGATCTGGAGGCCTCCAAAGAGGAGGGTCCAGCCCAGGAGAGGGTGGAAAGAGCAGGGGCTTCCACACCAGGTGTCCCTGATTCTGCAGTTTCAGCGGAGATGAGAGTTAGGTGGGCTGGATGAGGTGTGGGTGAATGAGGATGATCATGAGTAGACAGAGGCCTCCTACTCACCTCCTGATGCCTCTATCTCAGAATCTGAACCGTGGTGTCAGCCTCCATGAGACACTCCCCTAGAGAAGAGCCTTCCCTCCTGTGGGCACCATTCTGTTGCCCCCTGTGCAGACCTGGGGGCCTTTGTGCCACTCGGGGCACAACAGAGACCAAGTGGGGGCACACACAGCTCCCAGGAGTAATTTAGTCACCTGTTTGCTTTTTTAAAAATCTTTTTATTAATTTGTCTATTTTGGGTTTGTTTGGTTTTAAATGTTATTTACTATAATTTTTATTTTATATTTCTAAGAAGTCAATTATTTTTCAATGGAACCCTTCTGACTTACTGATAATAATTACATCCATCACAAGAAAATTGAAATCTCGCTTCTTAATTTTCAGACTATACATATATTTTATTTGCATTAAATACCACATGATACCGATATCAACGTAAAATGTTAAGATGGATGTGAAGGTCTTTTTAAGGAAATACCTTCTTTTATCACTCAAATTATTTTCAGGCAAACACAGCAAAAATTTCTATTTTCTAAGCATAGAATTACTGACTTATCTATTTCAGTTTATTTTTCCATTACTTCAGGGGCTTATTAGGGAAAAAATCATTTTTAAACAACAAACAAGGAATTTTTTCCAGACAACTGAACATCTCATGAACAATTATGTTTTCTCCCTGAATTTGGCCATGGTGAGATACACTGAAGGCTCTTGACTTGTTCTATGACATCTATCATTCAAACACTCTGATGACATATGTCATTCATTCTTTTTTTTTTTTTCAATTTAATGTTTATTTATTTTTGAGAGAGAGAGACAGAGTGCAAGTGGGAGAGGGGCATGGAGAGAGGGAGACACAGAATCTGAAGCAGGCTCCAGGCTCCAAGCTATCAGCACAGAGCCTGACATGGGGCTTGAACTCACAAACTGTGAGATCATGACCTGAGCTGAAGTCGGACACTTAACTGACTGAGTTACCCAGGCACCTAATTCTTACTTTCTGAATTATATAAGCTTACTCAAAATTTTTACATGGAGATTATAAAAAGCAGCGACCTGAAATTGGTTTTTGTTTTTTGAAATCATTTTTTTTTTTCATTTTTAGGTCAAAGCAGTTAAAATATAGTTGAAGGACTACCTAAATTTTTTGCTCACCCAGTTTGCTAACACCACTGATTTTCTCTTCCTTACGACTTTGAGATCAAGACTGTGATGTCTTTGGTTCTGGACATTTATATGGAGAGAAGAGAGGTTATATTTTAAGATAAAAATCAAATAATTAGTCCTCTCTCCTTGAACCCTTACAGCAGTTTCTAGAGTTCTTCATGGCAGATAAAGAGAGAAACACAAGGAAAGAGTGAGATGAGTAGGAAGAGGTGAAAGAGGAGGAATTGAAGGAGGAGGAGAAGGATGGTAATAATATTGATGATGATGAATATGACGGTGGTGATTATGACAGTGGTCACAGTCATGATGATGGTGGTGTTGATAGCAATGATGATGGTGATGATGTTGAATATGATGGTGGTTATTTTGATAGTGGCCATGATGATGATGACGGTGGTGATGGTGATGATGGTGGTGATGGTGATGATGGTGATGATGATGATGATAATGATGGTGATGATGTGGAATATGCTGATAATGGTGATGAATATGATGATAATGGTGGTGGTGATGATAATGAAGGTGATGATACCAATTATGATGATGATGAAGCTGGTGATGATGATGGTGATGATGAACATGGTGGTGGTAATGACCATGATTGTAGTTATGGTGATAATGATGCTGATGATGGCAGTGATGGTGATTATGGTGATGATGGTGATGATGGGATGGTGATGATAATGGTGATGATGGAACTTCCCTCATCTATCTTGTCATACCTGGTCCATTTCGTGTCACCAGGCCCCTACATGCCACCTCCCTGTTCTCTTCTAGACCCTCATACAACCACAGACATGGCTTCATTCCTTACTGAAGAGCATGCTTAGAACTTTTTGGGGACTTGCTCTCCCCAAAGCCTGTGACTCACCTTCTCTGGTCCTCATGTGACTCCCTTCAGTCTTCTCCTATTAAGGATTAAGCTGAAATGTCACCTCCAAGTGAGGCCTTCTCTGTGACACTGTTCAGAACTACCTGCATACATAGACTCACAGAGAATCACAATCCAAGGCAGAAATACCATTTAATGTCCCACTAAGTTGATAACACCATTTAGAACATATTATGAATCTGCATATGTGTGTGTATGTGTCACACTGTAAGTATACCTACCTATATGAAGAATGATTTAATGAAAGAACATCTGGATGAGGAATTTGCAAGTGAAGATTGAAAGTCTGACCTGGAGGAAGGAAGCTGCTGGAGACAGAGTGAAAGGGAACCTGCCCCAGAGTTTCAACCTTCTGTGCACCTGAAATTCAGGTTCCCGTGAAAACCAACCCCTCATCCATGGATCCTGGGTGCTCAGTTGTTGAATAAATACAAGCTTTTACACCTACAACTTCCCTTGCATGGTCCTGTACCTAGAACGAACAGGAGAATACAGAGGTTCAAGTGTTTCTGCACAGCAAAGCTCTGCTCCAAAAAGTCAGAAGAAAGTTGCAATTCACAAAACACAGGGAGACAGAAATAATCCAATGAGAACAGAGGGTATGCTTAGGGACTACATAATAGTTATATCATGAGAAGTGGGGGAGATAGAAGAACCCACAGGCCAGGGGATAAGTTTGAGTTCATTCAGCTTCTCACCTTCCCCCACTTTTTATTTGTTCCCCAAAGCAGCTGACGCCATCCTCCCATCACAGAACAAGTCAGACCCCAACAGTGGTGAGTAGGCGAACCTGTCATGGGACTGGTGTGGAATGTGAAGTCTTGTCAAGAAGAGGCGGGTGCTCTGAGTGGACATCCAGCATCAGGACAATTTTTGTCTCCCTGACCTCAGTGTCCTCTTTTTTCTTCAATTCCTAGACTCCCACTCCAAAGATTACACAGTGGAGAATCTCATCCGCATGGGCATGGCTGGCTTGATTCTGGTGGTCCTTGGGATTCTACTATTTTGGGATCACTCCAGTCAAAGGAGAATCCAAGATGAGGCCAGGAGGTAAACACAAGAGACAACAATGCCAACAGTTAGTGTGCCCGGGAATTTCTGCAATAGTATGTGGGCCCTGTGCCATGTGAACTCCTCCCTCGTCATTGTGAGGAGGAGGACTCATGGCTCATGTACAGGGAAAATGCCTGGACTGTTCTGCCATTAAACTGTGGACTCTCTTTCCCAACCATGGTTGGGTTGTCTTGACTGGCTCTTTTCTTTCTCCTTTCGCTGAAACCAGCTTATATCCCACATTGTAGATATCACTCCCCACCTCCATATACCATCACGCTCTGGCACAGTTTTAGATAATCCATTTTCCTCCACTTCTAATCACCATGTACCTTGAGGTCCATGAAGAGGTCTCCATCCCTTCAGTTCAGATAGTGCAGGCTGTCTTATTTTATTTTATTTTTTGAGATTATCAAATGGATTATTTATTTATTTATTTTTAATACGGAATTTATTGTCACATTGGCTTCCATACAACACCCGGTGCTCATCCCAACAGGTGCCCTCCTTAATGCCCATCACCCACCCCTCCCCTCCCTCCCACCCCCCCATCAACCCTCAGTTTATTCTCAGTTTTTAAGAGTCTCTTATGGTTTGCCTCCCTCTCTCTCTAACTTTTTTTTTTTTTCCTTCCCTTCCCCCATGGTCTTCTGTTAAGTTTCTCAGGATCCACAAAAGAGGGAAAACATATGGTATCTGTATTTCTCTGTATGACTTATTTCACTTAGCATAACACTCTCCAGTTCCATCCACATTGCTACAAAAGGCCAGATTTTCATTCCTTTTCTCTCATTGTCGAAAGTAGTATTCCATTGTATATAAAACCATACCTTTATCCATTCATCAGCTGATGGACATTTAGGCTCTTCCATACACTTTACATTGTTGAAAGTGCTGCCATAAACATTGGGGTGCAAGTGCCCCCATGCATCAGCACTCTTGTATCCCTTGGGTAAATTCCTAGCAGTGCTATTGCTGGGTCATAGGGTAGATCTATTTTTAATTTTCTGAGGAACCTCCACACTGTTTTCCAGAGTGGCTGCACCAGTTTGCATTCCCACCAACAGTGCAAGAGGGTTCCCGTTTCTCCACATTTTCCTGATTTGTTCATTTTAGCCACTCCAACTGGCGTGAGGTGATATCTCAGTGTGGTTTTGATTTGTATTTCCCTGATGAGGAGTGATGTTGAGCATCTTTTCATGTACCTGTTGGCCATCTGGATGTCTTCTTTCGAGAAGTGTCTATTCATGTTTTAATGCAGGCTGTTTTAAAGAATCATAAATCAGCTAAAAAGATGCAGCCTGAATGAGATAAATCCACAAAATACCCAACAACTTCTATGCATCGCTTCACTTCCATCACCTGGTCTGCACTGCCTCTGAGAAACCCACTGTGCAAAATGCTAATTTGTGGCATTGACCAGTGTCTCTGGTGTATCTTCTCCCTTCATAAGCAATAACAAAGTGCCACTGTGAGGTCTCGATGGGGAGCCATGTGCAGAACTGATGTCACAAAACAGTACAAGCCAACATAGGATCCCTTTAATGCCACTCTGCTGGCCCCAAAGTGCACTGGTGTTTCCCAGTATTTGATGTGTAATGTAACAATTGTTTCTACTTCTGTTTATGGCACAGTTTCGGTGAAATCACAAGACCGAAGCTCCAGCACATCCAGATGAGATGCAAAGAGAAAAAGTATAATATCAATCATGGGAGAGGGACGTGAGCACACTACCTAATACATTACTTGTAGGATGCAAGTTACATGAAATTGAGAGACAGGATTATACTTCTCTCCTTACAGCGAGAGACACATAGCTGTGATCTCTTGTAGCTTGAACTACAAATTTTACTAGCTGTGTACTACTGCTCTTGTAGCTGTGAACTACAAACTTTAGAGAATATTATACATACATACCAGAATTATTTCACAAGAACACTGACAAGAGATACTCATATTAACCAAAAATCATCATCAGATTATATGCACAGGCAAGAAAAGAGGAAACACAGAAAACTTATGACCTATGTAGGATGTACAAAATTGTACATTCTATATCTGTAAAAATACACCAATAGATTGCAAATGATCATGTATTTTTATGTTCAAACATGAGAGTGAAAATGTAAGATTATGAAAACCAGGATTATTCTATCCTCATTTAATATGATCTTATCTTATTGATGACATCTATGAAGACCTTATTTCCAAAAAACATGTATTCACAGGTACCTGGGATAAAGACTTGAATGTATCATTTGGGTGACATAATTCAATCACAAAAGCAACCCAATATACACAGGGATGAATTAAGCAGAGAAGGTGCAATATTTACATGTTAGGGTTTTTTTTTTTTTTTTAATATGCTGAAAGAAATTTGAAAAGACCTAAGTCAATGGAATGGCATCCCAGGATCACAGCTTGTAAGAAGTGATGTGGTAAAAGTGATGATACCTACTCTCCCAGGCAATCTACCAGATCAATTCAATCCCTATAAAAGTCCCAAAGGCTGTTTCAGCAGAAATGAAAAAGACAAATCTTTAATGCAAAGTTTGCAAAAGGGGGCACCTCAGTGGCTCGGTCGGTTCAGCGTATGACTTCGGCTCAGGTCAATATCTCACAGTTCATGAGTTGGAGCACCACATCGGGCTCACTGCTGTCAGCGTAGAGCCTGCTTCAGATTCTGTCTCCCTCTCTCTCTGCCCCTACCCTGCTTGCTCTCTCTCAAAAATAAACAAACATGTTTAAAAAACTTTGCAAAAGACTCACAATGCCCAAAATCTAGAAAAGGGTGAAGTTGGAGAACACACTTCTTGATTTCAAACTTACTAAAAACAGTGTAATCAAACAGGGTGCTATTGGCATCAACACAGATACACTGATGCATGGAACATTTTTGGAGTATAAGATATAAACCTATACATATGATAAGTTGATAAGTTGACTTTTGACAAGGGTACCAAGACCATTCAGTGAATAAAGAATAATCTCTTCCACAAATTTGTTGGGAAAACTGGATATCCACCTGCAAGAGAATGAAGCTGGATCCTTACACATTACACACAAAAATTAGCTGTAAATAGATTGATATAAGAGCTCAAGTTCTACAGTCCGACAGAAGAACATAGACTAAACTTTCATAACTTTGACTTGGCAACAGTTCCTTCGATATCACACCAAAAAGATAAGTAGTAAAAGAAACAAAACAAATCAATTGAATTTCATCAAAATTAAATATATATGTGCAGTCGAAAGTGGAAAAGACAGGGGTGCCTGGGTGGCTGAGTTGGTTGAGCGTTCGACTTTGGCTCAGGTCATGATCTCACAGTTCATGAGTTCGAGCCCCGCATCTGGCTCTGTGCAGACAGCTAGGAGCCTGAAGTCAGCTTCGAGTTCTGTGTCTCCCTCTCTCTCTGCCCCTCCCCCACTCACATTCTGTCTTTCTCTCAAAAATGAATAAACACTAAAAAAATTAAAGAAAGTGGAAAAGACAGCCTATAAAATAGTAAGAAATATTTACAAACCAAATATCTAACCAGAGAGTAGTATTCACAATATATAAAGAACACCTTTAACTCAACAGCAAAAACAAACAAAAAATCAACTTAAAAAATTAGTCAAGTGGCTTGAACAGACATTTTCACAAACAGGATACACAAATGGGCAGCAAGCATATGAAAAGAATCTCAGCTGATTCATCATTAGGAAATTCAAATAAAAGCACAATGAGATACGACTTCGCTCCCACTATATTGGCTATATAATTTGGAAAAAAATACAAGTGTCATTGAGGATGTGGAGGAATCTGAACCCTCACATTTTGCTTTTGGAAATGTGAAATGGATCGGCCACTGTGGAAAACCCTTTGGCAGGTCATTAAAAAGTTAAACCCAGAATTACCATATAACCAGGAAATTTCACTTCTAGGCATAAGTTTTAGTTCTGCAACATAGATAATTCTAGAAATCCCTGTGTAACCACATGCCGGTAGCGAACAATATGTTAGTGGAACAGAAACCTGCAAAGAGAGTAGATCTCATGATAAGTGCTCTTACCACAATGAAAAACAGAAATAAAAAAGAATTGCATACAAGTCATCAAGCACACAGTTATGCATGTATGCTTACAAACGACTCACAAGAGACAAAAAGTGTCAATAATCCAAATGTCCACCAACAGATATATGGATGAACAAACAAACAAAATGAAAATATGCATTAATTGCCTCCAATTTGTGCTTTGCACCAAGTGAAAGACAGGATTCACAGTCTGGACAAAGAGCTAATTGTCTGGGGGACAAGAGGCAGTGAGGAGGCAGGAATGACTCAGGTTTTGATGGAGAGAAGGTACTGCTGTTACAGGAAGACTAGGTCAGAGAGAGAAAGTGTGAAAGAGAAACAAACCTACAAACCCAAGCCCAGATCCAGGGGTGGTTCCCTCTGCAAGTCAGTGAACAGTATTATAAAAGTGTTCCCCATCCTACTTCTCTTGGGGTCACCCAGCCTGTGACAGCCCCATTGGGTCCTCCTGTCAACCGAGGCAGGTGTGGAACACCTCTCAATTCCTCACTCCCACATCTCACATGATGACAGTCCAGACAGCTCTGCCCTGGAACCCTCTTTCCATGACCCTCTCCAGCACCACAGTAAAGCACAAAGACTCAAGACATCATGTTGGAGTTACCATATCAGCTTCCTTCTGGTCCCCACTCCAGACCTCACCCCTTGATGAACTGTTTTATTCTCATGATCCCAAACATGCCTGTCTCGACCCTCCTCTATACAAAACCTACCCACTTGTCTCCACCTTCCTCCCATGAGACCCACGTGTCTATACCTGATACTCCACGTGCTGATGACCAGGCAGGGCCTGTTTCTCCCCACAGGCAAACTCACCCCAGTTCACCTCCTCCCTCCCCAGACACCACACACACTAGGTTATAATTATACATGTGTCCTCCTGGGATGTACTCACTGAGCCCATCTGAACACAGCAGACTACTTCCCAAACCTCTGAGGCCCTGAAAACAACAAAGAACTCTCGCTGCCTCTTCCCACTCAGCTATGAATGTATTTGTTACAGGGAGTGTGTGAGTGGATCCCAAGAACCCACAACACCACGTGGAATGCAGATCGGCTCATCACACAGTGGTTAGATTAAGGTCAGAGGGTTAACACTGC